AAAAAAAAAAAAACACCCCCACAAAGGGGAAGGCCCCAAATGGGCCCCTGCCTGTAGTTCTCCCTGGCTCCAGAGACGTCTGCACAAGCCTCAGCTTCTGGCTGGCCAGTCTCCTCTTCATGGGCACCAGCCACTGCTAAACATCCTTTCCCCACTTCTTGTGTAAGCTTGCTCCCCTGAGCAGCAGGGTGCACATCTAAACCTCAGCTCCAGGGAAAGGAAGAACCAATGGAAGTGCCAGAGTCCTGGGGCAAGCCAGAGCATCACCCGTCAGCAGGCCTCTGCTGGGCACTCTAAGCAAGCACAGGACAAGCCCCCCAGTTTAGTGTGTCCAGTATCCAGCATGGAGACAGCACATGCATTGTGCGAGAGGAGCACAAGGGCCCAGGGGCTGCGTGGTGGGGGTGGGCAAGGCTGTCAGTGCACGTTCACATTGTGTGTTTCACACCACTGCAGGCTGCCATATCACAGGTCCTCAGTTCAAAGACACACCTTTTGAACCCCCCCCCCCGGCCCCGTCCCCTGCCAGAAGTGGGCAGTGAAGGAAAGGACACGGGATTAGGCTGTTGCTCCTGGGCTATCTGCAGTTCTTGGGCCCAAAGCCCCTGGATCCCCACAGTTAGTTGCTGTCATTCTTGATGACGACCTCTAATCCGTGGTGCCGCAACTGAGCTCGCAGAAGCAGATTCTTGTTTTTAAGATCTTCCACCTGACATGGGAAGAAGACAGTAAATGGAATGGGTGGTAAAGCTGGCACTACCAAGCCCCTGAATGTATTCAGACATCAACTGGTGAGAGACGAAGCCCTCTCCATGGAGAACAAAGTAGAGGGTGTCAAACTGGGTCAGTGGCTAGTGGAGCTGAGAAGGGCTGCACTGGGGGTAGGCGTCTGACCTGCTGTCGAAGCACATCATTGTCCAGCTGCAGTTGGTCAAGCCCTTGCAGTTCTTCAGACAAGCGGTGGTTACTCTGCCGAAGCTCCTGGATATAATCACAAGCTTTGGATAGAATCCCACCTTTACTCTGCAAGATAAGGCCGACAAAATGAGGACTAGGATTTCAGATATCCAGCTTGCTTTGCAAAAGCAGGTTCACACTTTGGACTTCATTTTCCCTTAAGAAAGGTGTTATAGTATCTCCCAGGGATACGGGAACTTCAGGGAGAGGTAAGACTACTGTCATGTGTGCCCCACTCTCTACCATTTCTGGAAACAATACCAGGAGACAGAATTCAGGCATCCTGCCCACTACCAGGGTCTTTCCATGACCTGGCCAGACTTGGTGCTCTCCATAGAGCAGTCTGGGATGATCTTGGAGAGCTGCACGATCCAGTTGTTGATCTTGTCTCGGCGGCGGCGCTCCACTGTGGGGCAAAGTGGAGGACAAGGTGGCTCAGTGAAAACTCACCACAAGTCCCGGGGTAAAATTACCTAACCCCTCCTCCCCGCAGACATCACTGCTGTCCTAGGCCCACCAGACACTCCTAGCTCCACACAGATCTTACCTACCTTCATTGTGCTGAGCTCTGCGTTTCTCATCACGAGTTGTCCGAGGAGCTTCTGACTTCCTGACAATAGAGCCCAGGGTGACCAGGGTCAGAGAAGGATAAAATATGTGATTGGAGTTTAGTGTTTAAGAATTATACAAGATTTTGCAGGTATTAAGGCCACTTATGGCTAGCTGGGTAAGATGTCTCACACCTGTAATCCCAGCACTTTGGGAGGCTGAGGCAGGTGGATCAATTGAGGTTAGAAGTTCGAGACCAGCCTTGCCAACATGGTGAAACCCTGTCTCTACTAAAAATACAAAAATTAGCCAGGCATGGTGGTATACATCTGTAGTTCCAGTGACTCGGGGGGGTTGAGGCATGAGAATTGCTTGAACCCTGGAGGCAGAGGTTGCAGTGAGCTGAGATTACGACACTGCATTCTAGCCTGGGTAACAGAGCAAGACTCTGTCTCAAAAACAAACCAACAAAACCACTTATGGAATCTGAGAAGAAACAAGCGTCACTCACGGGGAATAAGGGTGAGTCCTAGGGGCAATTGAGCGCTGGCTTCCTCCCTGCAGTACTTCTTGTGGTGACATCATTACAAAGAACTGACCTGTGAAGACGCAGGATGGTTCTGTCAGGACACGAGTAGGAACCTCACCAAGCCCTGAGGTGAAGACCCTGGGCCCCTCCTCTAAAATGAACATGCTAAAAGAAGAGCATTCCCAGACTCACTGCCTGCCCAGGTCTTAATGATCACTAAGAGTCATGAGTGAAGGCTCACTGCCTACCAGTCAAGTCCCACAGCCTATCCTACCCCTTCCAGCCAGCATCCTCCCAAAATATCTCACCAGTGCCAGGAGGGGTCGCCTGTCCCAGCAGTGCCTCTGAGCCCTGGGTAGTAACAACAGCAGCTGTACTTCCCGATGTGGTACCCCCTGCCCCATCTCCCACTGCCGTGCTGGGGAAGTAAGTATAGTGTGTCTCTGCAGCTGTCCCCTCTGTGTCAACTGCATCATCACTGGTGAAGGCACCCTGGATCACTGCCTGCGAACGGAGCAAGAGAACAGATTCTGGTAACAGTCAAAAACTTCTTTCCACTATACCACTCTGCAGCTTCTATCCCTTGGGGTAGGGGGGAGGGTGGAGAGACAGAGAGAGAGAGAGAAACATCCAGAAAGGGAGAGCCTAGTGTTTTGGGACAAGGTAGCCCTAGATGCCTCACTGTTCCTAGCTTCACCCCCATCCTATTGCTTCCCTTCTTCATCTTTCTTCTCAGAACTCTAGTTACCTCCCCAGCCCATACCCTGTACCTGGGTCATGGATTGAGTGGCAGGGTAGCCACTGATGGCACCAGTGCCCTCAGTCTGGCCATCCAGCTGCCCTTCAGACACCTGGATCACCCTGTACATCACCTAGAAGTGTAGAGGAAGGCAGAGGGAGGGGAAGAGAGAAGAACAGATTAAGTGCTGGGAATCCTAGGACCCCCTCATAAAGCTTCCCTTGGATAGGGCCCCAAAACAAGAAACTTTCAGAGACACAGATTCAGCCATTCTTCCTTCGTTCTCCACACACAGGTTTCAGCATACATCTAACCTCACACCAGTCTCTACTCCAGTATTCGCACCTCCCTCCCCTGCAACAGTCTACGCTTTCAGCTCATCCTCCAAGCCAGGTCACCCCAAGACATGTTCAATTACCTCCCTCAATCCCAACCCCAAATAACACCTGCAGCCACCTGGCCCCCTCCCTTACCTGGCCCCCATTCTCAGTTCGGAAGACGTACTTGACGTTGGGGTCAGGGAAGGTGGCAGCTGACTGGATGCTGGCAATAGCCACACTAGTTGGGTCCTCCCCAGTAGCCACTGCACCTGAATTAAAAGAACAAAGGAAAAGTCTGCCTTTCTCTCCACACCACCCCCGCCACCATCCCCATTCCACTTTCATGTCATTGAAGGAGGATGCACAGGAGATGGTCTGGTCAGGGAGGAAGGGAGCCCATGGTGGGTTCTTAGCCTTGGTTCTGTTTCTAGCACTCACCTTCCTGAATCTGCACTGTCCCCTCTTCCGTTTCAGCTGTTTTCTGCTGCCTATTTATGGTGAAAGGACAAAAGGAAGAATATGGGAAGAAGTGAATGAGAAACTCACTAGCCCAGTAGCATAGGGCTGCAAACTCACTGGCATTCCCAACAGATGCTGGGGTAGGTTAGAATAACAACTAGTGTTTACTGTTTACTATGAACATAGGCACTAAGCTAAGTACATAACATGTATTCTTATTTAATACTAAAAATAGCACCACGAGATAGATAGCACTACTTCCATTTTATAGATGGAGAAACCAAATCATACAGTAAGTGATACAGTAGAACCTGAATCCAGGTCTACCTGACTCCTGAGGCAGTGCTCTTGGCCGTTCTGCATTCTCCCAGGCCACCCGTCTTTCATCCCAGATCCTACCTCTTCTTCACTCACCCCTTCATCTCTCTGTGAGGGGGCACATCCGAGGAACTGATCCTTTTTTGGAGCTGTTGGTATCTCCTGATTCACAGGCCTCAGTGCTAAGTCCTGGTAGAAATCACGGAGTTTGCAGTGAGTCTAGGACACGGAACAGTATCTCTGGTTCTAGAACTTAGGTTCCATAAACACACAGCCAGGAAAATAACCCAGTCATCTGCAGGGTACAATCAGCCTCCACCATACTGATGCTGAGGACTGGCCTACAGTGACTGAAAAAGCAACTCTACAAATAGTATTCCTCATCCCTCCATTATCACTCCAACTCCTGGTGGAGAGGGATAATTATACTTGAAGACAGAAGCAACACATTTTTTTAAATTTTTTTTGAGACAGTCTTGCTCTGTCACCCAGGCTGGAGTCTACTGGCACAATCTCAGCTCACCACTGCAACCTGTGCCTCCCAGGTTCAAGTGACTCTCCTGCCTCAGCCTCTCAAGTAGCTGGGACTACAGGTATGTGCCATGAGACCCAGCTAATTTTTGTATTTTCAGTAGGGACAGGGTTTCATCATGTTGGCCGGGCTGGTCTCAAACTCCTGACTTTGTGATCCACCTGCCCCTCCCAAAGTGCTGGGATTACAGATGTGTGCCACCACACCTGGCCGAAACAACACACTTCTTTTTTATTTTTTTATTAATTTTTTTAGAGACGGGGTTTCACTATGTTGGCTAGGATGGTCTTGAACTTCTGACATCAGGTGATGCGCCCACCTCGGCCTCCCAAAGTGCGGGGATTACAGGCCTGAGCCACTTCGCCTGGCCAACAACACACTTCTTAAATGGATCATTATTAAAGCTATTATGACCTGCCATGATGGCAGCTTCATGGGAATCAGGAAGGGCTATGTATTGGCACACCATCAAAAAATACCGTGTCATGGACACTGACACTTCTTCCAGTTTCTCAGCCGCATATTGTCCACTGAGACATTTCTGTTCTCAAATCTAGGAAGAGGAAATCTGAAGCCCATTACCACTGGAAGAATGTCCCTAACCACAAAGACCACACTTGGCCTTTGGGCCCCATTCTACTGACAGGGCTCTTGTTTTGGGGCATCCAGATTTATATAATGTGTTAGAAACCCTAAAGCCCAAGTGGATCATTTTCAAGCGCCCTCTATTTTATTCATCAAGCCTTCCAGTAGAACACAGTTGCTAAAATGTTGCCATGACAACTCCAAATCAACTGAGCCTCAGCAAGAAGAGAAAAAACCCAGAGTTCTGAAGAAGAGACAAAGAGGGAGGAATCCACCTACAAGGTCTGCCTTAGGACCCTGAGACCAAGCCAGAGGGCAGGAAAAACAAAGGGCTGGGCAGACATGCCTCCAGAAAGAAACAGCTACACAGTACAAAGCAGTAAGATAATCCCAACACAAAAGGGAAAGATTTTTAGAGATTATCTACCCACGAGGTTCTCCAAACCTTTCCTATCCAAGGAAAATTTTCAGTGGATAAGGCTTAGCAAGACTGCGTCCGAGGAAAATGTTAAAAAAGGAACAGAAAGTGAAACCGTCCAAAGGAAGTAACGCTGCAAGGAGATCCCAGTCGGTAAGGGGAAGTAGCACTAGTGTTTTGGGACCACCTATATTTCCATCTTCAAACCAGAAGAGGAAATGCCCTACGAAGCTTGCCGCGCTGACTGCAGGAGAAGGCAATGAAAGGGCCCGGCACAGGAGGCATCTCTATTGGCCACAGCTGTCAGCCGGGGCAGTCTCCAGGACACCCAGCCACCGGGTCAGGCTACTTATTCAAATCTTAGTTGGACATCCAGAAGCATTTCCTAAGCATTAGGGATCTGTGACAAGGAAACCGGGATGGGACATTGTAGCGTGCACCCTCAGGCCAGAAGGGCCCAGTAAAAGCCCTTGCGAAGTCTGGACACAAAGGGAAAAAAAAATCAACTCCCGAAAGAAGTCAGGCGCCTAGACCTTGCCTGAGAATGAGGCGTCTCCCTGCAGGCACACCAACCAGTAGGCGCTTACGGAGCTGAGCGCCCGCCAGGCGCGAGCCCGGGAGCCTGCGCCGTGACCCTGCAGCCCCGCAGCGCTAGCCCAGCGCCCTAGCTGCTCCGCGGAGGAGGCAGGAAAGGGCGTCGGGGACTGGGAAGCTCAGGGGCCGGGTGCCGACGGCTGCGTCTCGCAGCTGGACAGCGCAGGAGGGCTGGGACATGAGCTCTCGGGGCAGGAAGAGAGTTCGTTCGGCCCACAAAGCCGGGTAGGAGATAAAGAACCAGCACGGTCCCCTCCCCCAAAACAAAGGCTTCCTCCCTGGCAGCGTTCTCTAACCTGAAAAACAGAAACAAAGTCAAAGCTGCCCTGCCTTGCCAGTCCACCCAGTCTCCAGACTTCTGCCTGGTCCTACACTCACCGGTCAAGGCCGTCTCAGCCGCCGATTTTCTCCAACTGTGTTCTCCCTGTCCCGATCTGGGTATCGCCATAGACAGCTGCTCATGCGCACTTCCAGCCCGCGGCCATGTTGGTGAGGGGCGGAAGTGTCGCCCTCGGCCCGCCCATAAACTCAAACTCTGAGCCGCCGCACTTCCAGCTCGCTCCATCTTGGTGAGAGCTGAAGGTTGTCGATGTTTGTGGGTTTTTTTCTGAAGTCGAAAAGAAGCCGTGTCCTGGAGAATGTAGCCGAAGTCCTGGCCACTTTTGACAAGAACGAGAAAGAGACGACTAACTTGTACTAACATCTTAGTGCTGGGCAGGGCATTTTTTCATTCCAGGAAAAAAAGATGAGAGTCCCGCTGAGATCAAGGGAGGGACGTCCGATGGAGGCGCCATCTTTAACAAGGGTTATTTGGGAGGCCATCTTGACTCAGGGCGTGTTTTTGAAGGGTTACCTGCTAGAGATTACGACCTGTCGGGGTACGCATAGATCTGGGTATATTCCTTGTTAATTCGCGTCAGCGATTACTCACCCAAAGACCCCAAGGCTTCTAGCTTTCTAAAGGTTCACTTTATGTAACAGGAATCTTGATTCCCATTCTTCTCAATCAAGATCTTTACCTTGAATGGATTTGGAGTAGTGTGGTAAAATAGGAAGAATTCAAACTTGGGGGCCAGGCAAATCCAGCTTTCAAACCCATCTCTGCCGCTTCTTACCTCTGAGATCTTTGACAAACATTTTGACTTAGTAAAGCCTTAGTTTCCTCATGTGTAAACTGGAGATACCGGCACCAACCTTCCAGAATGATGTGGATTAAATAAAATCAAGGACATAGATTCTATGAGCACAGAATACTTAGCCCAGTTCCTGGCATATAATGAGCATTATGTAAATATAAGTTTCTCTTCCCCATTTCCTGACCACCATGAACCTAGTTCTAGTTTCTAACCACTAGTCTCCATGACAACTGAGGAAGAGCACCCAAACAGCAAGAAGAAAAAGAATGTTTTGCCAAATATATGAAAATATAATACCAAAAAAAAAAGAAAATATAATACCTATCATCAAAGACTTTAATAAGAATGATGAGACCCCACACTATTTGTAAAAAATACAGCCTTTATTCTGAGACATTGACCTTCACTAGAGCGGGACCTATGGCCCCAGCCTGGCTGGAGAAGCAGTTCCAGAACTTGAGTGACACCATTTCCCTTTCCTGAAATAGGAAGAAGTTATTCCAAAGGAAAAATTAGAGCCCAGAGAGATCTGTACAGGACCTCTCTTGTACATATGATGGAGGCAGAGGGTGGGGGAGCTGGAGAGGAGTCCAGTCCCTCCAACAAATACTGAGGGCTTCAAAGAGTTTGCTGGATGTTTCTCCTAATCTGGAGCTAAAAGGGTCAGGAGGCATCTAAGGGTCCAAGAACAGAACAGAAAAGGACAACTCTAGAAGTGTTTGTGTATGGAAGGCTCTAACCTGGCCCCATCCTCCCTGTCTCTACCCTTGGCTTCCATGAAGAGAGATTCACAGCTCAGAGGAAGGGAGGAACTTGGCTGGAATTCTCCAGTCTTCACTTTAAGAAACTCTTTTAAGTTTTCTGCCTACCCTATGTTCCCTTTGGCCAGTGACTCACTCCCTGGGGACAGGATCTTGTTGACTTTCTTGGGAATCTCCTAAGAGATAAGTGCTTTGCATCTGAGACAAGTTCAGGTAAACCAATCAAGGCAGTGCCTCCCACAGTCAAAAAGAGAATCTGGAGGGGCCAGAGCCTATAGAGTTGGGCAATACAGCTGCTGCAGCTGCAGAAGAGACAGCTAGTCAGGGCGGGGCACAGTGGCTCACACCTGTAATTCTAACACCTTGGAAGGCTGAGGCAGGTGGATCACCTGAGGTCAGGAGTACAAGACCAGCCTGACCAACATGGAGAAACCCTGTCTCTACTAAAAAATACAAAATTAGTAATCCCAGCTACTCGGAGACTGAGGCAGGAGAATCACATGAACCCAGGAGGTGGATGTTGGGGTCAGCCAACATGGCACCATTGTACTCCAGCCTGGGCAACATGAGCAAAACTCCATCTTGAGGGGAAAAAAGGAAAAAGACACCGCTAGTCAGGAACCCTGGAGATTCAAAACAACTTACCCAGAGCTCTGTCCTAATCACAAAGTCCCCTTTGCCCAGAGCTCTGGTCCTAATCACAGTCCCTCACCCTTCCCAGGGTTAGCCTGTGTTTCAAATGCATACGATCGGCGCTGGGGGGACAACAGGGGATCAGGGACCTGGTGTTCTCTGGGGGGCAGACTAAGACGACTCCAGGATCCAGACCCTTGTGTGCCTTCAGATGGGAGCTCCAGGCAGCTAATGGGCCGAGGAGAATGGGTAGAGATCATGCTGCAGGGGGAGGTTCTGGGGATGAGGCAGTAGTCCCCACCCTCAGTATAGGTCTGGTTTCGCCGAACTCCCTGAGCCTCAGTCCTTTGGCGGTCCCTGGCTAGGGCCACAGCAGCATCAAAGGAAAGACTACCCCCATTCCTCCAAGAGGATCGAGAAGGTCGGGACCCCCAAGCCCATTCTCCAGGAGTCCCATCAAGCCGGCCAGGTCTTGGGCTTGGATTTGCAGGTGCCACATGAATCTTGCTACACATTGCACTGGGCATCTTGGCAAACTGTGGTTTGGGGGGCACCACAGGCACAGAGCGGACCTGTTGGACCTGAACCAGAGAGGAAGCTAGACGCATGCCCACACCACCCAAGCCCAGGGAACAGGGGCATAGATTACAGCCCTCTGGACTGGGCTGCCCCTCAGGCTCCATCTCCTCTGGTGGGGATGACTGTGGGGCTGCCTCTTCCATCTCAGAAGAGTGGGCATTGCCCTCTTTGGCACAGTCAACCTCCAGGGACTCTGAAGGACCTGAACCTTCAGAGAGGGTGCCCTCTTCTAAATAGTCCCCTCCAGTCCTCTGGTCTCCCTCAGCCTCTCCGTCCCCATTCTCCCATTCCTTATTGACTTCCCCTGCTCCTCCTTCAGCTGCTGCTTCTGGGCTTCTGCTGTCTTCACCATCTCCTTGGTCTTTTCGTACTTCATCGTCTCCCTTCCCCCTCTGTTCTTTGTCCTCATCCTGTCTGACTCCCTCAGCCTTTTGTTTATGTACAACTTCCCATTTCTCCTCAGCAACTTGATCTTCCTGGGCCCCTTGCTCTAGGTCCCTTCTAGCTTCTACCTGGGCTTCCTCTCCTTGCCCAGCCTCTTCTCTCTCAGTTTCTTTTTCCTTCTCGTCTGTATACTGCTCTCCTCCTGGTTCCTCCACACCTTTAGCCTCCACCATACTATCAGCCTTCTTCTGACCTTTGGACGTCTCTCCCTTGGCCTCTGTCTCTTCCCTACTCCCTTCTCTCAGTTTGACCTTTGTCTCTGGGCTTCCCCCAGCCTCTCCTCCATTCTCACTGGCCTTTCCAGCCTCCACCTTGATCTCTGGACTTCCCTCGGCTTCTTCCCGGATGTCTAGTCTGCCTCCAGGCTCAGCCTCCTTGTCCTCCCCAACTTCCCAGCATGCCTGTTCTTCCTCAGTCTGTCCCAGATCCTGCCTTCCACATTCTACTGCCTCTTCCTCCAAACTCGATGCACCCTCCCAGATTGGGGATTTAGGTCCCAGAAGGGGACTTAGGTCATCATAGGCACTCAGGAAGACTTCCTCCCCATTTTCCTCCACAACTTCAGCCCTGGGGCCAGCAGAGTCCAGGGAGCAGCAGCTAGGAGCTAAGACAAACTGTGCCTCATCCAGAGACAGGTCATCCAGGGGCGGCTCCACAGAGAACTCCTCCACCTGTAGGCACAGCATTGTGGCTCAGGATCAGGAGGCCCTGTCCACCCTTGACTCCATGCCACCCCCAAACCCAACACAGCTCTCCTTACCTGAGGCCCAACTCCCAGGAGCTCCTCCAGGTAGCCCATCCCAGGGTCGTCCTCCCCAGGGGAGAAGGCTGCTCCTGCTGCTTCTGCCTGGGCCACCTCCCCATCCTCTGCCCCCACCCACTCAGGTTCTGAGCTGCTTGAATCCTCTAGGAAGGAGAAGGAGTCCTGCACCTCCTGGGACAGGGAGTCCTCCAGGGCAGGAGCCAAGTCGTCTGGGCCTGAGTCTGCCAGGGGACCTGGGGTTGGACTTGCTTCCGACTTCTCATCTGTTGGGGGAGAAGTAGTCCCAGGAATACAAAGGTCAAGCCCTGACCCTTTTCAATATGGGTCCTCCTAGCATTGCTATAGCAGAGGCCCAGCACTCCCAGCATAGCTACTCTGCATGACTGATCCTCTCAGAACAATATCCCTTATTATTGGCTTGCTACCTTAATTGAGCCCCTATCAGGTGCCAAGCACTGTGCTATCCATTTTACAATGCATTGTCTTATTTTTTCCTCCAAACTATTGTGTGGGGTATTGTCCTCATTTTATATATGAGGAAACTGAGGCTCAGAGAGATTAAGCAATTTGTCTAAGGTCATGTAACTAATATGCAACACAGCCAAAATTTGAACCCAAGTTTACTTAACTCTATAGCCCACGTTCTTACCCACTATCCTATCCTGCCTCAGGACTTCTCATGAGTGACACTTCAGGAACTGGTGTCAGAACAAGGATCAGATCCCAGCTCTGCTACTTCTACCTAAATCAATAGCAAATTGATAACCTAAGTTTAAGGTCTCAGTTTTCACTGCTGTAACAGAAAAATAACAATACCTATGTCACAAAGTTATGAGGAAATGAGACAAGCTAATTCCTGCAATCACAGCACTTGATTTTTTTTTTTTTTTTTTTTTTTTTTTTTTTTTTTTTTTTTTTTTTTTTTTTTTTTTTTTTTTTTTTGAGACAGAGTTTCACTCTTGTTGCCCAGGCTGGAGTGCAGTGGCACAATCTCGGCTCAATGCAACCTCCACCTTCCAAGTTCAAACAGCTCTCCTGCCTCAGCCTCCTGAGCAGCTGGGACCACAAGTGCCCGCAACCACGCCCAGCCAATTTTTTGCATGTTTGGTAGAGACAGGGTTTCGCCATGTTGGGCCGGCTGGTCTCGAACTCCGGACCTCAGGTGATTTGCCTGCCTTGGCCTCCCAAAGTGCTGGGATTACAGGCGTGAGCCACTGTGCCCAGCCAGTACTTAATAAACTCTTGATAAATGTTAGCTGATAGTATTGATGTTACTATTATTATTACCCATCCATCTATTATATATTCCCACACTGTCCTTAGTAATCCCTGGTATATGTGTCTGACACAGCTCCCATTCTTGCGTACATCAGTGCTCTGAAGGCTGCTAGAGATCTCCTCTCCATAGATTTCACATAGCCTGGTAATATTACTGGATTTCTGCAACCCTGAATCTAGGGAGGCAGCTGAAGGTAACCACCCCAAAGCCCAAGGGCTGAGGCCTCTGCCTTTTCTAGGGCGAATCTTCCAGCATCACAGCTTTAGCCTAGGGTTCTAGTCCCCTTTCCCAGCCTTGTTCAATCTTTGGGTCCTCACCTGGGGGGCCAGGGCCAAGGCCAGGGCCAGGGCCAGGCCCAGAGGCAGGGCTTGGCCGGTGCTGTAGAGCAGGGCACTCGAGGCCACGAGTGAGCCTGGCCAAGGAAACGTTGGAGATGATGTTCGGGGGCACACTGAGGATGGAGGTGATGTGTAGCGGGAGGTTGACATTGTAGGGGTCTGAGATGTGGACCCCAGCACAGCGCTCTGCACGGCTGCTGCCCCCAGCCCGGATGGCTGACCGCCCAGCTCGTGGTGTGCCTGGTTCGGAATTTGTGCCACCCAGTGCTTCTGCCTCAGGCTCCTGTTCACCATCTGCTGTCTCTATAGAATCGTTCTCCAAGCTCTCAGGCAGCAATGGGCTTGGCCGGGGACTGCCGGGCCCCACCAGCCCCTCTGGCTCTGTGGAGGAAAGAGAGGACCAGATAGGCAGTGGCCTAAGCTCCAAGGGCAAGGGGTCTAGACATCTCAAGAAGGCTCTGGAGAATGCTCTCTGCTTTCTTAGGCCTGAGAGCAAGGACAGCCTGGAAGGTACCAGGCCCAGCTTCTTTTGATCACTACTACAAACTCTCCACCCAGCCAGTAGGTCAGAGATCACCCCACCTTCACATACCTGGGGAACTCCCTCCCTTCCCTGCAAATACAGTCACTGGCTGTCATCACCATCACCACCACCACCACCACCACACAGCCATGCTGTCCCTTCCCATGTGAACACTCATCAACAAACCCATAGACTAGACAATGAGCTCACCATTGTAAATATAGCATTCAGTACTGTGGCTGGTGTATAAGAGGCACTCATTAAATATTTTTGAAATTATTGAACACAGTTGGCTACATGTACACACACACATGCACACACAGGCCCATACTGGTCACATAGCACACACACGTTCATATGCAGACATGCACCCCTCTACTCACCATCACTGGCCCCAGCTGCAGCACTTAGTGAGTCCATGCTTTTGGCTGGCCGCAGTGTCCCCTTATTGGATTTGTCCTCTGTAAGACAGGGATGTGGGTAGAGCCAGGGCCTGTGCACCCTCAGCAGAGCTCCCCCCATCTCCCCAGACTTACCCCTGTCCTCAGCTCCCCGTGGAAGTTTACGCTTTGTCTCATGGCCAGAGCGACCTAGATTGAAGATAGACCTCCACTTCCTGACTTTCAAAGACCCCTTTCTCCTACAGAGAATGGAGGGGCATAATTGGAGGTTGGAACGTGGTGGTCAGCGCAGGGGAGGAGGGCCCAGGAAGGAGGCCTTACTTGTGCTCAGCAATCTCAATGATAGTGTGGTAGGGCCGCATCTGTGGGGGTCCATCACCAGCCTGCAGAATGCTAGGCAGGTGGTAAGGCAGGGGCCTGGGC